CCCGTCGCCCATCCCTGCTCGCGCGAGGCTGCGTCCGCGTCTCGCCACCCCCGCGGCCTGAGCGTCCTGGCGCTGCAGGACGGAGGGGGGTCCGCGGCGGACTTCGTATTTGCGACGCGGGAACCCCCGCTCATCTACTCCACTGCCGCGGCGCCCATACCGGGGCTCTCGGAGCAGGCGCTGCCGCCGCTACCTCATGACCATGACAGCGTTGTCGGCGCTGATAGGTTGGACGTCCTGGTGGTGCTGCCCCAGTCAGCGCTGGCTGCGTGCGCAGCAGACGGCCACTCGCCGACGAAGTGCGGGTTGAGCAATGTCATGTGGGTGCTGGATGAGCCCGCGCCGCGGGCCATTCGAAAGGCTTTCTACCACTGCGCGGCCTGCAGGGACGCCCCGCGCGGGGAGGACGGGGAGCGCGCTCGCCGTTACCGGAAAATTCCAACCTTGGCGGACGTGAACATGTACTTCCCCAAGATGGAGGGCATGGACGCCGTGTTCCTCGCGGGGCAGACGTACTACACTATGTGGTTCATGATCGTCCTGGCCTCGCATTTCTTTCTGCGCCCTCATGTCACCGAGATGAAGACCTGGTTGGCAGAACGTTGGGGCCTTGCGTCAGTGGGGATGGCCCAGGGCGGCAGCGGGGCCGGCCGCGCCCTCCGAACCGACGTGACCGACGAGACCGGCGATGTTGCTGGCGCCGTTGCGGTTCCGTGGATTCTAGACGCCCTGCGCGGCCATGATGTGCTCGTCGGCCTGGTCGAGCGTTTCGTGGGGTGCTTCCTAGACGGGCTCTGCGAACAGATCGAGAGCGAAGCTTGGTTGGCAGATGGTGCCATATTTGGTGCCGATGTGTGCGTGAAGCTAGCGAAGGTAATTGTCACTAGAGTTCAGCTCCCCTCCCGTAGGGGGCGGAAGAGTCGCGCCGTGCGGCTCTATACGGGCGTGTTGCTCCACATTGGAGCCCGGGGCATGCTGCTCTCCGTGCCGGAGCTCATCCGCCAGGAAACCAACCGGGCGTACAAGATGAGCCTGAAGCCGAAGTTGGCGCGTTTGCGTCGACAGGCGTCAGAGTTGGGCGTGCCCAACAGTGGACTCCCTGTGGGCGCCTTTGTGGACACCTTGGGATTCGAGGCCGGGCTGAAAGAAGCTGTGCGCGAAGAATTTCACGGCGTCGCGGATTTCGGCGACCGTCGGCAATTGCTTGCAGACGGTTTCCAGGTCGGCAAGGACGGGGACCACCTGAACTGGCATTTCGAGAAGTATGCACCAAAGCACAGCACCGATTTCCATTTGGGGTCAGACTGCCACCGCGACATGATTGCGCGCCACAACAACCCGGATCGACCTGCCGATGCGCGGCGCGACTACCCCGGTGGTTCATGGCAAGCCGTGGGCGCTTTGGCCGTGCATCTGCGCGCGTTGCTGGATCGCTGGGCGGGTGCCGCTCGCAAATGCATCCAGGGCTCTGTGGCGGGGCATGCGTGCGAGGAGTCGTTGAAGGACTTTGTGGGGCGGGCCGACGCTGTCACCCACCCGGTGTGGGATCGCGTCTTTCCCGCAGCCGCCGCCAACAGGACGGCGAAGCGGAAGGGCGCAGCGAAGGTTCCCCGGGTATTTGTGGAACGCTTGGCCCACTTGCTCGACGCCACGGTGCACAAGGCTTCGCTTGCATGGGGCTATGAGTCCGACCTGGAGTGGACCGAGGAGGTGGATTGCTTTCGGGCGTTCTTCACCACGGCTGTGTGCAGTTCGGGACCGCCGAGCTGGTCCCAGGATGCCAGGGACCATGTCCGCGAGTCGGAGGAGGCGTCGGGCCCGGGGCCGAGCCGCCCGGTTCCATTGGTAACGCCTCTGATCGACAAGCACTTGGCCAACCTGTTGACCCCGCGCATCCGCCATGGATTGCGCGTCGGCCGAGAGCTCGCGCTCGTGTGCGCTCAGGCAGGTGTGCAGAAAGCATCGGGGACTACTGACATCGACTCGCTGTGCCACGAGTTGGAGCTCCTGCTGCTGCGGCGTTCCGTCACGACTATGAGCCCCGACCGTGCGAAGATGATTTTCAAGACATTGTTCTTGCGAGTTCACACCCGTAGGCAACTGAAGGGAGCCCTGCCGAGTATTGCCGGGGGGCAGACAACCCTCGGAATCCTCGTTTTGCAAATCCAACAGTTGTGGATGCTCCGCGGCAGTCCGGCGCACATGACCTCCCTGCTGCGCGCGTGGAGCGCGGCTCAGCCAGCTCTGCCTCGCGACGGGGGCGGAGGCTTGTAAATGCCGGGGTGCGTATTCCATACGCCGCGCGCACGTGCTACTGGGGCGAGAGCAGGCGGCGGTGCAGCGCTGCATGTGTAGACCGTGGATAGAGGCGGAAGGCTCCTCCTTGCCGCCCGCCTCTTGCATCGGTTTTTGCTTTCCTTTTTCTTGTCCTCGTCGTCGTCCTCCACCTCCCTGACCAGTGCCCGCGCTTCGGGCCTGCGAATGAACTGTTGCAAGATCTGCTAGTTGAGCAGCGCGCCCTGTTCCGATCCTTGCGCTGTGCTGCCCGAAGACGAAGAAAAACGTGCCCACCCTTTCGTCAAGTTCGTCCCGATGCTTGTCCTGTTCCCGTTGCCTGCGTTTCCGCGTGATTGTCGCCCTCCTCCTGCCTGTCCTCGTCCTCCTCCGACCTATCCTCATACTAATAGTCCTTGCCAGGGCAGTCCTCTTCGCGAGGGCGAGAGCATATTTGGAATGTTGGGGTGGCAACGCCCGCTGGCTAACCGCGCAGGTGGTGCTCGCAGGCATGTCGTGGCGATCGAAACAAGAGTGTTGCTCGCAGACCCACTGTGGCGCGCGTACGGACACGAATGCCATGGGAGACGGTTTGTTTTTTTTGCAGGCCCAACGTGATGGTTCGTCTTATACTCATCACTACCAATCATAGTGACCGTCCTCATCATCATCATAAATCATAAGTACTTCCCCTCTCCCGCTCCATCCGTTCCTCCTCTCCCCTCCTCCTCCGCCATCCCTTCTCCTTATTAATAATAATTTCTCCCTGTCGCACCATCTGACGTCTGTTTCGGGCGTGCCGGGCGTTTCGCTTGAGACTTCTTCGCCATTTATGACCCTGAAGCTTCAAATTTTGCAACTGTTACACGGATGGAGGACGGTCGGTTTTCAAAATGGGGCTGTCGCCTTGGCGCCGCGGACATTCGTCTTAAAAGTTTGCAATAGTTGCACGGATGGAGGGGGGTCGTTTTCAAAATGGGGCTCTCGTCTTGGCACCGCGCACATCCGTCCTCAAAGTTTGCAACAGTTACACGGGTCGAGGGCATGTCGTTTTCAAAATGGAGCTCTCGCCGTGGCGCCGCGCACATCCGTCTCAAAAGCTTTCAACAGTTACACGGATCGAGGGCGGGTCGTTTTCAAAATGGAGCTCTCGCCTTGGCGCCGCGCACATACGTTTTCAAAGGTGAAACAATTGCACGGATCGAGGGCGGGTCGTTTTCAAAATGGAGCTCTCGCGTTGGCGCCGCGCACATCCGTCTTGAAATGTTTGCAACAGTTCCGTCGGTGATCCGTCTGGCTGATTTGGCTGGTCTGGCTGATCCGGCTGATCCGGCGGATCAAGCTGATCCAGCTGATCCGACTGATCCGGTTGATCTAGTTGATCCCGCTAATCTGGTTCATCTTCTTGATCCGGTTGATCTGGCTGATCCGGCTGATCCGGTTGATCCGGTTGATCTGGCAAATCTGGTTGATCCGGTTGATCCGGTTGATCTGGCTGATCCGGTTGATCCGGTTGATCCGGTTGATCCGGCTGATCCGGTTGATCCGGCTGATCCGGTTGATCCGGTTGATCCAATTGATCCGGCTGATCCTGTGATCCGGCGCGGTGATCTGGTTGATCCGGCTGATCCGGCTGATCCGGTTGATCCGGCTGATCCTGTGATCCGGCTGATCCGGCTGATCCGGCTGATCTGGCTGATTTGGTTGATCTGGCTGATCCAGCTGATCGGGCTGATCCAATTGATCCGGTGATCCGGCTGATCCGGCTGATCGGGCTGATCCAATTGATCCGGTTGATCTGGCTGATCCGGCTGATCTGGGTGATCCGGCGGATCCGGCTGATCCGGTGATCCGGCCGGTTGATCCGGCTGATCCGGCTGATCCGGTTGATCCGGTTGATCCGGCTGATCCGGTTGATCCGGCTGATCCGGTTGATCCGGCTGATCCGGCTGATCCGGTGAAGTGGTTCATTGATCCGGTGATCCGGTGATCCAATTTTTAAAAAAAACCTCTAGTCCGGATGCATCCGGGGATCCTCCTCCTCCTCCTCCTCTCCTCCTCCTCCTCCTCCTCCTCCTCCTCCTCTCCTCCTCCTCCTCCTCCTCCTCCTCCTCCTCCTCCTCCTCCTCCTCCTCCTCCTCCTCCTCCTCCTCCTCCTTCCCCCCCCCCTCCCCCTCCTCGGGGGGTACGAAATCTGCTGCATGCAGCTGGTTCCGGCCCCGTCGCCAGGCATATTCCTCGACACATGGGCGCCTCCTGGCGCCGGGGGGCGCCGACAAATCGGTTACGTGGGCTGATTCTCAAACCCCCCCTATTGCTCTCACCCCCTTTCGCCTGGCCCGAATGGCCCCGGCCAGGGTGTCCCACGCCAGGCCTCACGACGGTCCAACATCGTTGCGAGGCGCCTGGGCGGCGCCGATCGCACGCCGACCCGAGGGTCGGCTGTAGGTTAAGTCGACCGTGTCCCTCTACATGAGGAGTATTCGAGAATAGTAAAAAAATGGTCTGGGAACGATGTTTCGATCATTGTTCTACCATTTTTGCGAGGTTGGGATTCTTCTAATTTTCCGTCCAGAGCCCGCTTGTAGGGGGACATCGGCATCCCCCCAACATACTTATACTATGTGTTCGTCGCCCCCCCAGGGGCGACGCGCGCACCGAGAAATCTTGTAGTATATGCGTCGTGGCGGGCGCTTTCTGGCCACACCGCTCGGGAAACGATATACTACAAGATGGGTATACTACATGTTCGGGTCGGACGCGCGCCTCCAATGAGGACATATAGTACTAGTATGTCCATGTGCGTCCCAGGACATGCCCGACCTGATTGTGAGGTTGTGGCGCTCCCTCCTCACTTCTTCCTCTCCCTCTGCCCTCCGCACGCTCGCTCCACTCTCGGGCCACCTGCTCGGTGCACGAGCCCGCCTACGGTCGGCCTTGATGGGAGAGGGCACGCGAGAGGACACAAGACCCTTCCGAGGGCCACACCGCCCTATATGAGTGTGAGAAGGAACGTGTCGCGAGGCACAGGACACGAGGGTACCCCTGAGCTGGCAGGGCCGACCTACTCATCCGGGCCGACTGTGTCGCAGGTCGGCTCCTGTGGTGTTCCCGGTCTGCCCGGCGACCTCTTGCTTCGGGTGGGCAGCGGCCGAGGCCGAGGCAGGTGAAGAGCTCTGTCGTCGCGCGCCCTCCCCCTGGACTGAAATCGGGCCTGTCCCTCTACAGGGGGAACTTCAAAAATAGTTAAACAAATAATCCGGGGACTATGTTTGAGTACTTGTTTGCACTCGTTGGGTATTGTTGGGGTATCTCTTATCTTTCGTCCAACGACGGCCTGCAGGGGGACAGGCCCGGCTTCATCCTGGACCAAAAGATCGTCGGACCTCTGGGTCCGAGCCCCTCCCTTCTCCGTCGCCCGCGTGGCGGCCGAGTGCGCCCTGTGCGGCGACGACTTCGTCCACGGCAGCCGCGTGCAGGTGCTGAGCTGCGGGCACGCCTGCCTCTGCACCAGCCCCTGCGCCGCGGCCTTCCTCGCGCGGCAGAGCGACTGCCCCGTGTGCCGGCGCGGCGGGGTCTTCGGGACCACCTCCGTGCGCTGCTGAGCTGGGGCCGCGGGTGCGTCGAGCCTCGAAGGGTGGACCTTCCTTCTCCACCGCCACCACCAGAAGTATAATTAGGAGGGGGAGGGGGTCCTCCTCCCCCACTTCCTCTTCTCCCTCCACCTCCTTCCCCCCTCCAACTTGTGGTGGTGGTGGTGGTGGAAAACAGGCCCATCACTCGAGGGAAGAAACCCGGGGACCATGACCAAGACGTCGCGGCTGGAGCCGTCTGGGGGTCCGAGATGGCCCAGCATTAGCCTCTGAGAGGGCCGTCTTCGGGCCCCAGGACCGTGAAGAGCGGATCGGGGCGAAAACTACAGCAGATGATTTGGCATCATCGCCCCTTCTGGCCCATTGTTTGTGGCCCCAACGAGTTCAGACCCCCCAGCCGCCTTCACTGTCACGGGATCTCTTCTATGCCGATCTTTGCCACGGCCCATGTCGACCGTCGCCGATGTGCGAGGATGATCCCGAATTGGTGGCGGCCAAGGGATCGACGGTGGCCAAGGTCGGCACGACGTGTCCCCATTCAGTCTTGGTCATGGGCCCCTTGTTCTTCCCTTCCAGAACCCAGACTTCAGATAAGAAAGACATGCTGATACTGCAGCTCTTTCAGTACGCCTGCAAGATTGAGATCCATAGATTGCGTCTTTGATTGTCTGGGGAGGGGCGCCAAAAGGCCGAGGCGCAGTGGATATTGATAATAATCTAGCCTCTAGGGGCCAGGCACAGTTTAGTCCAATGCGCCTCGAGTGTCTGGGGAAGGGAGCCCGAATTTCCCAGATGCAGTGGGTGTATGGATATACATCTTGCCCGCACCGGAGAGTGATCGTCGCTACGGCTGGAGCATCATCAGAAGTCTGGTCAGAACGCATCTCGGGAGTGGTCTACAGTGGAGACCCATGCCAAGAAACACCCCGCTTGCCTCCAGTGTTCCCTGGGTTTCTTGGGTTTCGATGGTTTCGCTGTGGAAGGCGTGACGCTCCCACCAAAAATCCATGGACGTCCTGGGGTCTCAGGGTCGAGTTTCTTGTGGACGGTTTCTCGTGGACGGGCCGCCACTGTAGGGCGTAGCGGTATCGGCACCTCGCTGTCCACCCAAGGTCGCCCCTCGTCGTGGAAATTGTCACGGCCCAAGGCTCTGACACGTGTTCGGCCTTTGGGAGGCTCTTGCGGAGCCCCGGGGATGGTCAGCAGTAACTGCTCAGTGAGAAGAAGATTTGGTTGTGATGAGGGAGGGGGTGGAGACTTGGTGGGCGAGCGCGTGGAACAACAAACACACGGGAGGGATGGCGGCGACTTCGGGAATTGGCTATATTGCGAATAGTCGGCCACAAGGTAAAGGGGGCGGAAATCAACGGGGGGGTAGACATGTGCATGTGCCCAGCAATGTTTGGCGACAGGGTGGCAGTCCAGGGGCTTCAGGGCCACTTTCTTGCATCCCTATCATGACCCCCAAGCGGGCGAGCAATTTGCGGCGTTCGTTGCCCCAACGTCCACCCGAATCAGTTCCAAAAACTATGTATTCCTTTGTCCCTCTTTCCAGTAAGTAGCTGCAAGGGTCGCCCGCTCCGTCCTTCTTCTTGCCTCTGCTTGCGTTCGCTGTTTCACTCTTGCTTCTGCTTGCGTTCGCTGTTTCACTCGTTCCTTTCTTCTCGGCAAGCCGTGCGAGCGAGAACGATCACCCCCCTCCACGCATTCCTCCCTCCCCTCCCGCCCATCTTTTCTGCTCGGCCGGACGGGCTGATGGCGAAGTTCGCCTTTCGATCGCTTGTTTTTTGTTGCCTGCTGCTGCCTGCAGCGGTTTCGTGGGAGGCTTCAACATGACATGAAGGATTACACAGATGGAGGGCGGTTTGTTTTAATGATGTGATGATTGCCTTGCGTCGCTCAGGTCCGATTTGAAAGTTGAAGCAGGTTTACAGATTTCAGGCAGCGTCTTTCCAACACACGGCTTTCATATATGTGTCGAGCATTTGAACACATGGCTTTCCAACACATGTCGTTTTCAGCGTTGATGCAGCAGTTGTTTTTGGTTGAGGGCGTTCTTTTAGCATTATGGCTAGAGGTTGTAAACGTGTCACTCCGTTCGTGGATGGTGGGTGGAGCCTTTTTGTCAACCTGTGGCTCTCGCTGCAGATTGCCTCCCATGACGTGCGACCCATACCTCAGCATGGCGCCGCACGTACAGGGACAGAGGGCGGCTCCTTGGCAAGGTCGGGCTCGCTGGTTGCACGCAGCAATTTTCCCTTTGCGCTTCCTATAGCTGGCCACGACTTCTCCTGATCGCCTCGTGATTTCTCGGTGGCCACACGTGAACCCCACCCCCACAGGGCTCGTTTCGATTCCTCCGATCCAATTCGATTCGATGTCGATGGCTTCCAATTCCGATACGATTCGACTTGGGATTCCGATGTGGGTTCCGATTCCTCAAGGGAGACATACTAGCCCGCCGATTTTCGCCGTTTCGACTGCTCCCCACTCGGGTGCCGATTTCCGCCGATCCGATTCCTGTCGACTGCCGATCCGACTTATCGATTTGATTCTGGGCTCTCCTCCCCCACCCCCCCCTTGAAAATCGTGGGGGATGGAAGCAGGGATCGCGTGCAGCCACCCATCCTCTGTTCTCTTGCCTGCTGGTCTTTCCCTTCCTCGGGCTTCCTCCAGCCTCCGGCCTCCCGTCGCCTGCGCCCGGCAGTTCGAGGCAGTGGGCCGCGGCGCGCTGTGCACACGACCTACACGCCGGCCATCGGAAGTAGGTAGTTTTAGATTCCCAGGTCCCACTCTTCTTTTAGGCGCCTTCCTACTTCAACGACCGAGTGGTGTTCTTCTTCCCTCTTCGGGAGGTGGGCAGGAGCCCAATGTATTTCTAACCCGTTCCTACTTCATGCTTCTACCCACTTCTTCCGACCGACGGTAGATGTTTTGATGTTCGTGTGTCCTTTGCGCCGAGTGCGAAAGGAATCGGCCCTGGCCGTGCTGCGCGCAGTGTACATATGTGTCATGGCGCTGCGACGTTTCAGAGGATGCAATCAACATTGCCAGCATCGTGAGTGAGAAAGGTGCACAGAAGTGTGTCTTCATCGTTTGCGGCTTCCTCACCTTAGTCATTGTTCTTCGTCCGCACTATCCGGCACAGTGGATGTTGCTTTCGCCAGATTGATTTGCTCGCCGACGCATCTACGGTTTCGGGGCAAGCGGTTCTTCTGCAATTGCCCTTGGAAGAGTCTCGTCTTCCTCTGGATGTCCGTAGTTACGAACCGCTGTAACACGGATCGGTCAACGCGATGTTCAGGGAGACGTTTTGGGCAGTTGTTGTTGATAGTCCGTGTTCGTTGTGGTCTCGTTCCGGGGACAAGTGAGGCTCGATGGCGACGTGAGAGGTGTGCTAACACGTTGCTCTGGGACATCTTCCAGATAGTGTACCGTTCCGAGGCGGAACCGGAAGGAGAATTCAAAGCGTCATGTTGTTCTAACGTGCTTTAGCTTTGACCGCCAGAAAGATTTTCGAGCACCAAGAAATTACCGTAACTGGAAGGTTTTCACGTGTCGGGCCCTGGAAGGCGATACTCGTTCGACAGTGTTTCGACCTTTTTTCTGGGTGCTCGGAGTTATTTCTGGGATGTGGACCTGACGTACAATGGGAGAAACATGGTCAAAGCGTTGTTTTGGTCGACCCATGCCACGTAAATACCCTTCAGGGCCTGGCATCGAGGGCAGAAGCACGACGGCCATGCCGAGAGATGCCGCGGGATCATACCGACGAGGATCTTTGCCGTGTCCCATGCCGGCTGTCGCCGATACGCGAGGCCGGTCCGCGAATGGACGATGGCAAATGATGAGATGAAAGCGAATCACGTAGAGGACGATTTGACGAATGCGGACGGTTGACCAGTGACGAATCACCGAGGCACCAAGAAGGATGAGGAGGAACAGGGATGAGTGCAGGTGGGGAGGGGATGAGGATGAGGATGAGGATGAGGAGGAGGAGGAGGAGGAGGAGGAGCAGGAGGAGGAGGAGGAGGATGAGGATGAGGAGGAGGAGGAGGAGGATGAGGATGAGGATGATGATGATGATGATGATGAGGATGATGATGATGAGGAGGAGGAGGAGGAGGAGGAGGAGGAGGAGGAGGACGAGAAGGAGGGAAAGGGAAGGGAGAGAAGGGAGGGGGGGATGAGGGGGAGAAGGGTCGGAAGGGTGGAGAGGAGGAGATGGAGAAGGAGGAGGAGGAGGAGAACCAGGAGCCAGAGGAGGAAGAGGTGTGAGGAGGAACAATAGGATTTGTGGAGAAGGGAAGAGAAGGGAGGGTCGGAGGAACGGAGGGAGCAGGATGAGAGGGAGGGGGAGCGCCAAGAGGAGGAGAATGGGGAGGGATGACTGGACGGGAGGGAGGAAGGCTGGTGGAGCAGGAGGATCGTCGGCGGGCCCGGGGGGAAGGCTCGGAGATCCCCCAGCCTTGCAGGTTTTCCAAACCTTCCCCAAGAACACAGACACCGTTTCAGAGGGCCAGAGGGCTTCTGAGAAGCCCCGTCGCCTTCGGAACAAGGCCTTCTCCTTTCCACTCCCCCTCCTCGCTCGCCGCCCAGAGGAGGACGCGGGAGGGGACGGACAGGAGGCGAGGAGGAGACCACGCGAGGCCACGTGCGCCCCCCCCCCTGCAAGACGAACAGAAGCGGGCCAGCTCCCCCCGGTGACGTCGGCCCCGCCCCTTCTGGACCCTCCTCGGGAGCTTCGAGACGGGGAACGGTCGGGGCTTGGCCAGGGGACCCCAGGTCAGGGGACCCGGTTAGTGGTAGGGCCCCGGAGCCTTTGAATTGGCCAGAATCACTAAACCAGGTTTGCCGTAGCTGGTGTTTTTTCGGGTGACGGCAGTTCCGGTTGGTGGAAATGGGACGGGGGGGCGCCCTTGGCAATTACAGCTCACTGAACCAGGTTCCACTAAACCCAGTTCTGCCAACGCCCGAAAAGGTAAGACTCGAGTGCGTCAAAATCCGGGTTCGCCCACGCTTTTCGACGAGCCCGCCTCGGATGTGGACGGTCCAGTTTTCGTGGGATGTCTGCAGCAGGAGTTCGCGCAAAATTTCACAGAGTGGGTGTCGTCATATTCCTGACGGCCCGTCAGGCCGACCCGAGTTCCCCGAACCCCAGTCTTACGTTTGGGACGGCTGTAAACACAAACGGGGATCAGCCAGAGCCTCAGAGGATGAAAAGGTGCCCATGTCGCTACCTTTCCCCTTGGGCCTCTTGGGAGGCACTCGTCGACTCCGCTGGGCTCGCCTCGAAACCCTCCCTGGTCAGAAGGCACCCTGGGAGAGGTCTCGGGAGTGGCGGTATCGCGCAGGATCCTGCAAAGTCCGGCTGCCCGGGGCTTGCCTTGGCCCGGGCCGGTGCGTCTTTCGCCCCTGGTTCCCCGACCCGCGCGCTTGCGCCGGAGGCCCGCGAGGGGTGCGGCCTGTTCGAGGCGAGGCTCCGCCGATGGGGGGGGGGCGGTCGTCGGCGGCGAGATGCGAGCCTTGCCCGTCCCCTGACCTCCGAGGAGAGCAAGAAGATCGCACCAGGACCGTGTCGTGAAGGGGGGGGTGCGGGGGGGGGGCGGGGGGGGGGGGGGCGGTCGTCGTCGGCGAGATGCGAGCCCTGCCCCTCCCCTGACCTTCCAGGAGAGCTATAAGATAGCACCAGGGCCCTGTCGTCTCGATTCCTGTCGAGGTCTTGGGCAATCCGGGCAGAGACCTGCCAGGTCCGGAGGCCGATCTTTTGGCACTCCTGCAGGGTCGGGGGCCGAGCTGGGGGGCCAGAGAAGAGTCCGAGCGGGGCGCCGGAGAGCGAGGGCCATGCCACGAGGGTACCCCATCCCCTCTTCCGGGGCAACGTCGTCTTCGGCGGCGGCGGCGGCTGCGGGCGGCTCCGACGGCTCGAGCGGGCGGCTGGGCTTCGGGAGTCGTTGAGCACGTGTGGAGATCGCAGCCCCACCCATGCCTGCCCCTCGACTCAGGAGAATCGGCGGGTGGTGGCGGCGGGGTTCGCAAGTCGCCGCCCAGATCTGGGGGCACTTTTCTGGGTCTCTCGGGTGGGGTCCGAGGAGATGGGATCAGAGGACTGCGCCGCGTCGCCGATGCATCGGCGATGCGGCTTGATGCGGAGCCCGATTTTCTCCAAGCCGACGTCGCCGATGAATCGGTGATGCATCGACGATGCGGCGCGATCCTCCGACCCCATCTACTCCGACCCCATCTGGCAGCACTGGTCTCCAGACCATGAGTTCTAGGCCCCAGGTGAGAACTAGATACCTGTATCGATACCGTTCCCTCATCGCCACGTTTGCATCCGCCTCGACATGTGGGTCAGACCGCAGCCTAGGAGACCCCCAGGGTAAAGGAAGCTGATTCGTGGTTGAGGCTCGCGGTGGCCAGAAGTCCCCATCGTTCTTCGTCTGGTGTGCCTTGCTGTAGCACGATGACTGTAAGAGTGACCCTTCGCCAGATTGACCTTTTTTCCGGGGCCCCTCCTCGATCGCTGAATGCGATGCGATAGCAGCGGCGTTTGCGCGGTTGGCCCTGCCTCAGGGGCAGCGTTCGGGGCGGGGGTTTGGCTCAGGGAGGAACGCATCAATCTCTCACGGGCCATTGATCGCCGGTCGGGGAGCTGACGGCCCACGCCGCCCAGGAACTTCGGTTTCGTAGTCGGAGCCCTATCGCCTTTCTATCGGCGATGTGCCGCCGAGTCCAGGTTGATAGTCGATGTTCCCCGCATGGTGGCGGCCAATGGTGCCCCATTGCGCCACGTGAGGGAGATGCATTCTGTCCGCTTCGAGAGCGATTGGGCGCGCTGTTGGGAGCCTCTGTGAGTTGCTTTTTAACTATGGTGCCCCCGCCCCTTGCGCTGTCCTGGCGCCCGGGGACTGCGCTTCAGCGCCGACCCAGGAATGCCGCGCGGACGTCCAGATATCTGTGAGCATGCCGTCTGTTGCTCCCTCTTGGGCTGGTACTTCCCATGCGCGGCGCACGGTATTCTGCCATCCGCGGCCTCCGGGGCCCATGCTGGGCCCGCGATGGGGCCGTCGGTCCTCTGGGCGGACGGCCAGCGGCGGAGCGACAAACAAACCAAAAACGCGCAGGGGTCGAGGATGTCAGGGGCGTGGCCCTAAAGGGGCCCCGAGTGGCAGTGCGCGTGGCCGAGAGGCGCACGCAAGGTGCACGCTCCTCCGCCCCCCGTTCGCATTGCCCCCCCGTTGGAGGACACCCAAGAGCGGGTCTGCGGGGCCAACGGGTGCACGAAGGGCGCGCGGTTCTTCACCCCGCGCTCATCGCCCTTCCCCCCCCCCCCCTCCCCCCTTTGCACTAGCCCCCGAGAGGAGAGGGCCAAGAGGCTCCGGGGGGCCACGCTGCTGAAGAGGCCTGGCGGCGTGGGGGCCCTTGGGCTCGCCGAGCACCCGGGGACCGGAGCTGCTCACCGGTGAGCCGCCCCCACCACCCCCCCTCTTGGAGGGAGGAGAAGCGATACCAGCACCACCAGGGGGCCCACCTCCAGCTAGGAGGTCCACGATGCCTCCCCGAGCTGGATGCTGGGGATGTCTCGAGAAAGAGGGGGGGACCACACCACCAGGGAGACTCCCCTTGCCTCCTCGCACCTCCTCGCCCTGCTGGTGTTGGTGTCGCTTTTCCTTGTTCCCCCCCCTCGCGGCCACGCCTGGATCAACCCAGATGGGGTTCACCCGCCAGGGGCTGCGGAGGCGGCCGCGCTCCGGAGCGGGTGGCACGGGTGCGGCCCACGATGTGATACCCCGGAGGGCCGCTTTCTTCGGCGCTCTGGCTCAAGCTGTGTCGGGCTAGAACCATTCTGGTTGTGCATATCCGCTACCAGAACCAGGTGGCGAGTCCACGCACGAGCTCCTCCGGAGGGCTCTCAAGAGGCAGTGGCCCTGTGTTTCGTGACACAGGCCCAATGAGAATTGTGGTGATGCCGGCTGCGCCTGGCAACTCTTCCGTGCTGTTGGCCTTGAAGGCGGCCGTGGACGCGTTTCGCGCCTTCCTTGCGGCCGACCCTTGGCTCCAGCGTACAGAGTACCTACCAGCGTGTACTCCAGTCCTTTCTGTGTCGTGGGCCGATCGCATCAATGCCATGTTTTGTATCGAGGCGGCGCAACTGCTGAACAATATTTCTCGAGATTTGCGCCTCGACTTCTGAACAGTGACCAAAGGATGCGCGTGTTGACTCACGAGATGTTCGTAGCGGAGATTGATGAGATCGAGAAAGAGAGAGACTGGTTGCACGAAGCATGGTTCGAGTCGTGCCAGGCAGACGAGGACAGAATGCGCTTTGTGAAACAGAGAATCGCGCTTGAGTCTCTTCAATTGTTCATATGTGATCTGGTTTACCAACGCATTGTGGAGTTGTTTGGCGACGAAGGCGGCACCATCTCTTGGTCCCGGTTCGGCATGACCATCGCCAGTCGCGGTCTCTGCTCCTTTGTGTCTGGTCGCACGATTGATCCAACTGGTTTGATCGACGACATTCTCTTGGACCGGAGCCGCATGCATAGCAAGGGCCTACGCGCTGCACGCTTCTAGTTCGTACCACATCAACGACGTAGAGCTGTGCTACAAGAAGCTTGTAGCTTGGTATTTACTGGTCTAGGATATGGTCGTAGCAATAACATACATTTAAGTATGTTAATGCTGTCTCTCGTGATCGCAGCCAAGGGGTCTGGCCATACAGAGTTTTGACCTTGCTTGCGAAGGGCATCAGATCTTCGCGTGAGTTCGTGCCTATTGTGGCTCACGAGTTGTCTTGCAGTCTTATCTATTCGGAATCATGCGTGCTGCTGAAAAAGTTGCGCAATTCGGCGGCGAGCAAGGGGGAAAGAGAGAAAGCGAGAAGGCCTTCTAAGAAGGCGGCGGGACTTCTCAGAAGCCTTCGCGCCTTTGGGAGGTTTTCTGTGTCTTCGGGGAAGGCTCGGGCAACTTCTCAGAAGGCCGGATGATTTCCGAGCCTTCTGAGAAGGGCCCCCTCTTCTCATTTTTCCCCCATGCTCGCCGCCGAGTAGTGGGAGAAGTATAGTCGGGGCGGGAAGTTGTGCACTATACCAGGCTATGTTTGTCCACCTCGCAGCGTGAAATGGCGGCCACAGCACAGTGTACACGTTTTGTTCAGCACTTGTGGCCGGAGAGTTGGCCGGAACATTATACACCATGGGACCAAACCTTGTTTTGTGACGTTTCTGCGAAGCCCCATGGGGCGTGGCCCATATGCCTTAGTGTGTAGGCGCGCGTTTCTCCAGAATTGGGCGGGGGGAGAACAAAGGTGCACTTGCCGTGCACCTCCTGGGCCCCGACGAGGCCTAAAAGGGGGTAAGAAAGGTGCCCGTTTTGTTTGCCCCCTCATTTGTTGCCCCCCCCCCAGCAAGCAGCTCCCAGAGCTCGAGGGCGGAGGCACGATGGCCATGGCAGCGCCGATTCCGACCCGATGCAGCCGACACGATATTGGCTCTGGTCGGCTCGGACCAGCCAGATGCCGATTGTGCGACGAGCCGATGCGGCCCTAGTCATGCTTGCCAGGCGCTGGTGAGCATCCTGGCGCCGCCGAACCCGCTCGATCCCGCCTCCGTGCCGATGCGTCCTGATCCGACGCGCACGTCGATGCGATCCGACTTCCCGAACCGATGATGATTGACCCTGCTGCCACCGCGAAGATGTCGCGGGATCTTGCCGACGCGAATTTTGGGCATGCTACACGCAGGCCGTCGCTGGTTCGCTAGGATGATCACGAATTGGCGATGATTGAGATCGACATTGACGTTTCTCCGCGTGGAGTCTTGGTCATGGTCCTCGTGCTTTCGTTCCCCTCTTCGACCGCGGCATGTCCCTTTTGAATCGAAGATGGACGCCGCCGTCGACGTGGGCTCGGAGGTGCTCGGGCAGGAGGAGGAGGAGAAGACGAGGAGAGATGGTGAGGAGGAGGAGGAGGAGGAGGAGGAGGAGGAGGAGGAAATCTCAGAGTTTCGCGCGGAGTTCTCGGTTCTGCGCTGGGCCTCTCTGGCCGCGCCCCCGGCGCGCCGCCCTTGGCGCGCCCCGTGTGAGCCAGGGCGGGCGGCCCAGCACCGATCCACGGAAGCCGCGCAGAGCTCCGAGGTCATGTTACGGTGCAGGCCCATGCCAAGAAGCACCGGTTCGAGGTTCGGGTTCGAGGTTCGAGGTTTTCGGACGGTTTCGTCGGTCCTCGGCGGCTTTCCAGCCTCGGGATGCTGGTCAGAAGCTTCGCCTCGCCGAGGGCGTTCCAGGGGTGCCAGAATCGTCCCGAACGGCCGCTGGAGACCCGAGTTGTGACCCCAAAACCAAAAACCAGCGGGGAATCTATGCCAAGAAACACCCTGCTTGCCTCCAGGGTGCCCCGTGTTTTTGGGGCTTCGATTGTTTTGCGGTGGAAAGCGTGACGTTCCCACACCCAGAATCCATGTGCGTCGTGGGGTCTTAGGGTTGGGATTCTTGTGGCAGGTTTCTTGTCCACTGTAATGAGTTTTTGCTCGATGCAGACGTCTGGAGTTCAGTCGGGCACGGCCCTCTTCGGGAGGAGTATTCAAGAATAGTCAAGAAAGAGTCTGGAGACGATGTTTCACTATTTTTGAGTCTTTTTTAAATAGTTGTCGCCCAGAGTCCGCCGGTAGGAGGCCATGCCCGACCTAAGTCTGGAGGTCGGCGTGGACTTCCGCGACCCGCGCCCAGGGAGGAGGAAGAGCGCCCAGGGGGGCGGGCTGGCCTCCTCCCTCTCCTTCCCCTACCTCTCTAAGAAAGCCACGCGCGGCTCCGAGAGTGCATGTAGATGTTTCTGGTTGGCTCCTTCCTGTGAATCTCGGCACCCCGGCCGTCAGAAGTGGACCCGGGACGGCTTCTTGTCCCGGGGAAGGGGTCGAGATGGTCTGAGCCCGCGGGTTGAGAAATCAATCGTCGGAGGTCGGGGACGGTGCCATCGACGGCGTGTCATGTTGTGGGTCTCCAGGGGTTGTTGGAGGACCTATTCTTCCTCGTCCGCGAAGGATCAGCACCGTTATCTTCCCGTGTGGAACCACCGGCACGACGCTGTGCAGCACCAGCGCAGCCAGCAGAACCACTGTGGTTGGCACGAGTGGAGCGAGCAGCACCAGCGCAACCAGCAGCGCCACCGTGACCAGCACGTGTGGAACCAGCAGCACCACACGTCGCAGCATCAGTGCAATCATCAGCATCACCGTGTCCAGCACCAGTGAAACCATCAGCTCCACAGCAAGCAGCATCAACGCAGCAGGACGCCGGATCACGCAAAGCGCGGCCCAGAGGTGCCAGATCGGCACGGCCGCGGTGAGTTCCTCAGCGAGGAGGAGCTGATGTGGACGAGGGAGTACTCACCTGGCGGCGCGTGGCAGTTCTGGAGCCTGGGGAGGCCGAAGAAGGAGATAGTTCGCCTGGTCGACCGGGGGACGGCACCTATCCTCCGCCTGCCTGGCCAGCCAGGCACATCTTGGACCCAGGATCGGTGCACATGCCATCCTGTCTCGGCCAGGAAGGCACACACATAGACACACACACACACACATTCATACATATGTATAATGCTACACATATATATATATATATATGTATACATATAGAAAGATACCAGGAGGCCAGATACACATGACGCGGCCGTCCTGGGCGGGAGCGGAATCCACATGTGGCTGATGTTTGTTCCGCACGTCCATGCCTGTGGGGGTCTGGCGTCCGCGTTTGCATCCAGCGCGTGGCCCCCAGACGTTGCACGTGCGAGTCCAGCCACATGTGTGTGCGTGTGTGTTCCCAGCCTCCCAATACTCATGGTGCGCGCGATCGGTAGATGCTCCGATCCTGGCCTAGGAGGGGCCAGGTCTGGCTCGGCGAGGTGGACATCTGACGCCCCCCCCCCCCCGAGGTCGAGGATGCGAGTTTCCCAGCCGACGGCCTCAGCGCGGTCGTTGGGGGCGGCGCAATCGGGGAGCGAGGGCTTCGGAAAAGGGGCCCTTCAAGGCCATTCAAGGGGCAAGGCTCCTCAAGGGACCCTTGAGGACCCCAAGTGGGGACCTTTGTGGTTCGAAAAAGGGCACCTTTGCTTCCCCCCCTTTCGAGCGACGATCTAAAACGGGTCTTACGCGAGATGACGCAGCGACCTTACGCCGCGGCTTGATTACGCGGGCCGCTGGCGCGGCACGCATCATTATAGACGAAGTCGCTGACGCGCGACTTTATGCGGGCAGGTTACGGTCCAGTTTGGCGAAGACGACCCCGTTTATTTGCATCGCCCCCCGTTAACTCGCGCACGAGGTCGTGCTTGGGTGCGGCGTCGGCGTGGAGGTGGACTACCTCGCGCGCCGCGCGGGCGCCGGAGCCGCGGCCGCGGCCGCGGGCATGGCGGCACGGGCCCCCGCGAATTGCGTCGCGGGGGTGGACTTCGCCCTGCCAGCGGTTCGCAGAGGAGGAAGAGATACCGATGGCGCTATACAGTGACGACCCATGCCAAGAAACATCCTGCTTGCCTCCGGGGTGCCCAGGTTTCCTTGGGTTTCGATGGTTTTGCTATAGGAAGCGTGACGTTCCTACACCAAAAATCAATCGACGTCCTGAAGTATCAGGGTTGGGCTTCTTGTGGCGCTATACAGTCGACCCGCATGGTAAGGATGGGCAACCTTCCCAATGGTACCCTTGCATCCTCGCCTCCTCGGTCCATCCCTGGCCACTTCCGTTGGCCGCGCCCCGCTCGAGAAGCTTCGGAATGGGCGTCCACGGCCTTTGCATCCTTATCGCGCATCCTTCTGATACTGGCCGACTGTACCCTTCCCTCGTCACCAGGGCTGGATTCGCGCCGAAATCGTGATCAGAGCGCACTCCAGGAGAGGCCCGTGGAGTAGCGGTATCAGTATCTTCGTGTGCCATCAGGTGCAGCGGGCTCGCGACAGCTACGGCTCGCGCGAGGAGGAAAGATGGGGGGGTCTCGGAGGAAATGTGCGAGGTTCGAGGCTTTTGGGCATTTCTGTTGCCTCCAAGACGCCCACCCCCGTGGACACGGTTGTCCTTCTCCATGGCATTTGTCGGCAGTTCCAATTGGCCACGGCTGGATTCTCCTCGAAGTCCTGTTCAAAATGCATCATTAAACAGTCGGTCCAGGTTTTGTGTTTCCCCACATGCTACGCGATTATTCCCCCCTCGCATGTACAGCACAGCACCCACACCACCAAAATCACCACCACCACCACAACCATCGTTGTCGTCGTCATTGACAGTGTCATTGTCGTTGTCATTGTCGTTACCCGCTTCATGATCATCATTATCATCATCATCATCAGCATCGTCATCACCATGATCAGTATCATCATCAAGATCATGGTCATCATCGTCATCACCATCACAATCACCATCACAATCGTCATCATCATCGTCATCATCATCAACTCAATCGTCCTCATCATCATGGACATCTCCAGCATCAGCATCAGCATAACCATCATCATCAATATCGTCAACAACATTCTCATCATCAACATCGTCATTATCAATACCATCATCGTCATCATCGTCATCAACATTACCATCATTGTTATCGTCATGACTCTCATCATCAGCATCATCAGTATTAGCATGATCATCATTGCCATCTACATACAAATCATCAGTATCATCATCATCATCATCCTAATCAGCATCCTCATCATCAGCATCATCACCACCACCATCATCGTCATCGCCATACTCATCGTCACCATCATCTTCATGATCAACCTCGTCATCAGCAACCTCTTCTTCATCATCCTCAGCATCATCGTCGTTATCATCATCATCATCATCATCATCATCATCATCATCATCATCATCATTATCATCATCAGCATCATCATCCTCATCCTCAGCAGCATCATCACCACCCACACGCTCTTCATCAACATCACCTCCATCCTCCTCCCCCTCCCCATCATCATCACCAACATCATCATCACCATCACCAGGATCAACCTCAACATCAACGTCATCAGGTTCACCATCGTCAGCATCAGCATCATCCTCATCCGCATGCTCCTCCTCATTTCCATGATCATCAGCATCATCCTCATCATCATCATCATCATCCTCATCGTCATCTTCATCATCATGATCTCTTCATCTTCATCACCATCATCATTAGTATCATCAGCAGCATCAGCAGCACCACCATCATCATCATCATCATCAGCATCATCAGCAGCAGCATCGGAGCGGGCTCGAGTGTGGCCCTGTAGCTCGTGCCGCTATGCATGCCCCAAGCACCTCGCCGCGTCATTCTGCGAGGTGCGACGGCGCCTGCCGCCGCCGCGCCTCGCCACGCGCGCACGACGCGTGGCGATCCGCCAATGCTCAGCCGCATGCGCAGGCTCAGCGAACACTGCAAGTGGCGCCGTCCGTCGTGGAGGCCTGCGCGAAGGAGGGCTTCGTGCAGGCCGCGCACTGGGCGCCAGGGCTGGACATACACGCTGTTTTGCTGGGCTTCGGCTACGTTCTGTTTTTTCGGTCTGGCAGGGAGGTACAGGAAAGCATGCAGAGCAAAGCGGAACACGCAGCGTGTCGGCGCGAAGGTCTCGCCCAGGGCTGCGCGCGTCTTCTGGTGAGCGAGCCGTGGATGCACGCGGCTGCCGCGTGGTGCCCAGGGGTCTACTGCGCGGGAGGCTCGGCTCGGAAGCGCCGCCAGGATTGCGCCGGCCCGCGACACTGATTGTGCTGCGCGGCCGCCGGGGGCCCGCCGCGTCGCCGTCGCGTGGGCCGCGTGCTGCCTGGGGCCCTCGGCCCGACTCGTGCGGAGGGCCCCTCCCTGGGCGGCCCCATCCCCGTCGGCTGGTTCGGCGTGGGATTCTGGGCGGCGCTGGCCTGTGCCCTCGTGGGCCCTGGGGTGCCGCCGCGGGCCAGGGGGGGGCCAGGGCGGGGGGGGGGCCGGGGCCCTCGCCTCGGCCGCGCATCCAGTCAGAGCCAGAGCGGTCGGCGAGCTCTGCCCGCAGCCCCTGTCAGTTGCACCCCAGCATGGTCATCAGCTCCATCATCACCATCGCCGGCATCATCGTCCCTCTCGCCCGCACCCCCTCATCCACACGAGCACGCAGCTCCCATTGTCCACACTCACCCACACACACTCATCTCGAGCACGTCTCGAGGGGCAATCTCGTCGGTGAGTGAATTGCGAGTCTCGAGCGGGGGGGGGCCTTCCCTATGAAACGCCTCACGTTGATAATCCGAGCGGGCCATCCAAACCATTGAAATGTCGTTTTTTGTCGGGCTCACCAGGCTTGAGTACGGAGGGTGTCTCGGGCGGGAACCCCTTCTGTGTGTGAGTGAGTCGCGAGGTTGTTTTGAGAGGGAGAACCCCCTTCTCAGGCCCGCGCTTCATGTTGACAACCTGGGCGGGTCATCGGAACCACGAAACTGTCGCCACTTTTTTGGGGCTCTTCGGGCTTGAATCTGAGAAGTCTCGAGCGGGAACCCTGTTTGCGTGCGAATCGCGAGGAAGACTCGAGCGGGAGCCCCCCTCCCTCATGGGGCCCGCACTCCACGGCACCTCGGGGTTGACTACACTGCAGGTCGGCGCCGAACTCCAGTCCAGGGATCGAGATGGGAGAGTTCGGGGCCCCGACTTCGCCGATTTAGGGGCCTTCGCTCGGGCTACTCGGGCTTGTGCAAGGTCGTGAAGACAGGTGGATTGCCAGCGGCTTTTTACGGCACAGCGGTCATAGGCATGAGCACTTCCACGGTCATGAAGCTGCGCTCTATCATAGGTCAGGCATCTTTCGGCAAAGGACGGGGCCGTTCCAGGACTCTGCAGTTTTTGTTGGGCCCTACTAAGGGCTTGGACCCTGTGTTCCAGGCCGACCTCCTGCCGCTCAAGATGTGGCAACAGGCTGTGAAACAGAAATGGGTCCCCGAGCATATCATGAGGGCCTGCGTGCAGGCCTGCCCTACGGTTGCTTCCAGGACTTGGGACAAGGTTCGGGGGCCAGCTGGAGCGGTGTGGGCTACCCTGGATCGTCTGGGCTGGAGGTTTACTGCTTGGGACACCTGGGAGTCTTGCCGTGGCTTCTTGCTGGACCTCAACCACTTCGGGAAGCGCACCCTCACCAAGTTGATTGACTACAGTACACATATGAGGCTCCTGGAGCATGTTGGGGTCCCTGATCCCGAAGATCCTGAGCGTGTGGTTCCTCCCCTCCTGGGGCCCATCATGGATACCCTAAGAGGCCTCAGGAAAGCGGGGAGAAACTCAGCTGCCGCCTTTCTGTGTAATGTAGTCGCAGGAGGTCATCCCACTCAGGATGTTTTGTTCCATGACAGGCGAGCCATCACGCCGCTGTGCAGGGTCTGCGGCATGTAAAACGGCACGCCACAACATCGTTGATTCCAGTGTAATGGTTTCTTTCTGTTTAGGCGGGACTTAGACCTGCCGCAGTGCGTGGACAGAGGCATGCAGCTGGGCGCCTACGATTTCTTGTCGGCGAGAGCGCTCATTGCTGACCCAGGGTATGACTGGCCCAAGGTTTCCACAGCCGAGATCTGGCGGTGGGATAAAGTGCCAGAAGCAGGTTTCCTAGGCAGCAGGATATGCATCGACGGCTCAGGCTTTGACACGACCTCCCTGTATGCGGCTCGTGCAGGTTGGGCAGTGGTGGCCATGGATCAGAGCAGTCGTTGCGAGGGCAGTGCGTTTGGACCCCTTCCTCATCCTGTCCAGGAATCAGGAGCTGGTGAACTGTATGCTTTGCTGATGGCCCTCAAGCTCATTGGGCCCTCGCAGTGCACCCAGATCTACACTGATTGCCAGGCCGTCTTGGACGTGTGTGCCCGCGGGCCCGAGTCGGACATGTCTGAGGTGGCGTTCTCGGAGGTCTGGGAGCTCGTCTGGGATCGTGTTCTAGATATAGGACTAGAAATGATCTGCCTGCACAAAATTAAGAGTCACATTTCCTGGAGTAGATGTCTGGAGACCTCGGAGGCCCCCCACTGGGCCTGGGTCGGCAACGGCATTGCTGACGGTCTTGCTAAGCGCGGAGCCCTGGAGCACCCTTGCAATCCTCGCCTCCGCGCCCTCCAGAGAAATAGAAGTTCGGAGGTAGCAGACCTCAGTAGGTTTATTGCGTGTTTCGGGGAGATGCTCAGCAAGAAGAATTTCCCTGATGTCCAGAAATGTAAGGCCCCCCCCCCGCCCCAAGCATGACCCTTTAGTTTTGGTTTGTGATTTCAAGGGGCATGCTGTCCACAGGACGGGCACTAAGGGGAAGGGGGCCTACCGCTGTGTGAACTGTGGCGCCCCGGGGTTTTCAGAAGCGTCAGTGTGCGCGCTGCCGTGCTCTGGCCTCCCCGGGCTGGCCAGGCTCGCCCACGCCAGCCATAAGCTCTGGATCAGTGGCGGCCGAGTCGTGTGGTGTAATTCGTGCGCTGCATTCGGGTCTGTCAAGCTGTGCCTATTGGGAGGTCCGTGCCCTGGCGCGCCTCCCAACAAGCCAGCGGAGAAGACCCTAAAGCAGCTGAAGGAGGGGAAGGATCCGTCCACCAAATCCTTCGTGGGTCGGCCTGTACCCCTCCATCGGTCGGGGCCTTAGCGGTGCGGTCGCGCGCCTGCTGGCCCTGGCCTCGTTTTTCGCGCCGCTCGCCGTCGCCCGCCGCCCAGTGTTCTCGCCTGGAGGAGCTTGGCTGCGCAAGGGTCGACAGGATCGACAGGAGGAGTCACGTTCGAGTTCCTCTCGGTTGAGTGTGCAGGATGCTTCGGGTGGGGCCCTGCAGGCCTGAGCATGGAGAGTGTCTCGGACGGGAGCTTGCCCCCTGTATGGGGCCCGCGCTTCACGTTGGCAATCCGAACGGGTAATCCGAACACATGTACTTCAACGTCGTCGTCAGGAGTCCGCAGGGGGGCGCATGAAGCCACAGGAAGCTCCAGGAGGCCCCAGGAGGCCCCAGGGCCACCAGGAAGCGGTACAGGAATATTACAGGAGGCCCCGGGAGGTCCCACACACACCCTGGAGCAGATCCAGGAGGCCCCAGACGGCCCCAAAAAGGGTCCGCGCAGGGGGGCCTCCTTCGCCTTCGCCGCCTGACGCCGCAGTCGTCGCCTCACCCCGCTGGGCGGCTTCGCTCTCTGCTGTTGCCGCGAAGCAGCCGGGCCAGACCGCGTGGGGCCCAGCCCGCGCGCCTGGCGCGGGGGAGGGGAGCGGCCCCGCCCCGGCTCCCGCCCCGGCTCCCGCCAGCGGCACTGGGATGAGGCACCATCCCCATCCCCAGGTCCAGCCTTCCGCGAGGCTGGGGAGGCCGCCCTGCGCCGCCGCCGCTCCCGCGCCCGCCCCGCAGGGTCCGCCGAGCATGGCCCCCCACGGCCGCGCTGCCGCCCCATCCGCCGCGCCCGCGCGGCTGGGGCAGGGGGCGCGGCGCCGCCCAAGCCACTCAAGGCCAGCTCGAGCCGAGATGGCCTTGAGTCTTGAGCCAAAATGGCAACTTGAGCCAAAATGGCTACGGAGGTATTTTTGCGTTTCCCACGCCCCCCCGGGAATTCAGAGCACGCGATTCGGGTGTGGTCAAGTTGGCGGTTTGGGGCTCCCCCCCCTCGCGCGGATTTCAACAGCTTGCAGTCGGAAGCAGACAACAGGACTGTAACATTGGAAACTTGAAACTGCAACTGGTGCAATGGGGGCAGCAACTTCGTCCTGCAGCCTGATGGCCCCACAAGGGGGCCGGCGGATCTTTTGCATGTCCTTATATGCTGCGAAAGCATTACGGCCGGTGTGGCCGAACCTGAAGGCAGGATTTTCTCCCCCGCTGGCGGACCCCCCCCCCAGACGCTCCCAGGACCCCAGGATGGTGGCATTCTGACCTGGGACACGCCCCAAACCCCACACCCTCAGGGAAGGGATTAAAGGGACGAGGTTGTCCCATCGACCTAATCACGACGTTCCTCCGTTCCTCCATCTCCTCCTTCCTCCAGTTCCTAGGGACTGACGACGACGACGACAGCGTCTTCCACGCGCCGAAGGATCGGCGGATCTTCATCTGTAGGCTGATCTTCTACAGTTTCCCTCATACCGTCGGACTGATATAAGATCGAGGTCGGTTCGGGGAGGGTACCCTATTTAATGTTCTTCGTATGTGTGCGTGTGTGTCTGTGTGTGTGTTGGATGTTACTGTGCATCCTGGAGGAGGGCACCCTTGGATGTTCTGCGCGCCTTGGCCAGCGGAGGGTCTCATGTTCTTGAAGGAGGTGTTTCTGTCCTAGGTTCGCCCGCGCCCTGATCCCTGGATACCAGAATTTTCCAGTCCGCGACCGACGAGAACGGTCGTTACCGATTTTGCTTAAAATTGTGGTACCGGTGGCGACCGATGTGCGACAAAATCGGTCGCAACCGATCGGTCGCGACCAATCGGTCGCGATCGGTGGCGACCGGTCGCGACCGATCCTGGGATGGGCGCGATCGGTCGCGGCCGATTTGGAGTGCCGATCGGTCGCTAGCGGTCGCGACCGAACAGCAATCGGTATCCAACGATTGGCGCGGTCCTCTGCCGCGGCGGAGAAGAAACGTGTGCCCCCCCCCCCCCCCCCTGTGCCCAGGCGCGACGGACGGCGCCTTTTTCCACCACGCGGACGTGCTCCGGCTCCCTGCGCCGCGCGCGCCCCTGGACCTCCGAGAGGACAACAAAAAGGTTCCCCCATGCCGCGCCCCCCCCCGCCGACCGTGCTCCCCTTGGGGGGGCCTCCCAGGGGGCTCCTTTGGTGCCGCCGCTGCGATTCGATGCGGCTTCGATGGATTCCGACTCCGATTCGGCTGGATTTCAGATTCCGATTTGGGCTCCGAGTTCTCGATGTTGCCGATGTCCGCCGATTCGACTCTTCCCGGCTCGGCTGCCGATGTCCGCCGATTCGGTTCGTTTCGATCGCCGATCCGTTTTGCCGATTCGATTCGGGGCTCTCCTGCCCGTGTTCCCTTTTTGCGGCGCTTCCCGTGAGGCACTCGTCCCCCCCTCGGGGTCCGCCCCGAAGTCCTGGTCGGCACGCGCCCCTGGAGAGGTCCCGGGGAAGGGTTCCCATGCCGCTCCCCTCCGCCCGTGTTCCCACGTTGGTGGCGCCTCCCGGGAGGCTCCCGCCGCTCCCTCTGGCTCCGCCCCGGCCTCCTGGTCGGAGCGCCCCCCCGGAGAGGTCCGGGAGAACAGCGGCACATCGCTGCCTCCTGCTTCTGTCCCCCAGGACCTGGTCGTGGACAACACCGTGCTCCAGAACGTGCTCCGTGGCGAGGACGGCGACCTGGATCGCTACCTCGGCGCCCTCCGCCGCATATCGCTCCCCGGGCACACCGTCCTCAACGTCAACCTCATGAGCCAGGAGAGTCCGCGGGGGGGGTCGGCTGCCGAGGCCGCTGTGCTCGTCCCGGGAAGGGCCCTCCTCGCCACGGCGCGATAATCCCTCGGGGGCCCCCAAACGGGGTGGTGACCACACCGTGCGGTAAGTCGGGGTGGGGATTTGGGTTCACCGCACGGTTTTGGGACTCGAGTCCCTCTCCCAGGACTTCTCGGGCGACAGGAGCCTATCAAGTCCCAAGTCCTTGCGGTGACGGACCGTGCGGTGAGGTATCTTGGGGTTCCGAGGTCAGCGCACGGTCTGCGCACGGTCTGCGCACGGTCTGCGCACCGTTTCGGGACTCCAAATTCCCCCCTCGGAGTGCTGGCCAGAACGCTCAGCGCGAGCCCCCAGGGACCGTCAAGCAGTACGTCGGGCCTGTCCCTCTACAGGAGGAATATTCAGAAAGAGCACAAAAATAGTCGGGGGACGATGTTTGGAGTATCTCTGGCTATTTTCGATGGTTTGACTATTTTTAATGTTTCCTCCAAAATCCGCCTGAGGACATTCCCGACCTAAATCAAGCATGGATGACAGTCTAGGCCTCCTAGATGGGGTCCGAGTATAATCGCGACGCATCGCCGATGCATCGACGGTGGCGCTCGATGTGGAGCCCGATTTTCCCCACGTCGACGTCGCGGATGCGTCGCCGACGTCGCCCATGCATCGCCGATGCATCGCCGATGCATCGCCGATGCATTGGCGATGCGGCGCGATCCGTCGACCCCATCTTTTCGGACCCCAGCTAGGAGGCCTCTAGACAAGCTTCTCCCAGGGAAAGGTCCAGAGCTTACGGAAGCGACATCGCTGAGCGTCGAGCTTCTCTGCCTTTCTCGAGCCGCCCAGAGACCTCCAGGTATCCGAGAGGATGTTTCCCTTCCCCCTCGCAATCCGTTTTTCGATGGTCCTGCGACACCCCTCGAGAGGTACGGGGAGCAGGGGCGTCGATACCTTGTGTCCTCCCAAGGAGGGCTTCCTTCAGCAGCCGGGGTTCGCCGAGTGCGGCGAGGCCGCAGTGGCGCAAGAGACAGCACAGCACACGAGTGTTTGAAGGTCCGCGTGGATTTCTCGAGTCGGCGCTGGGGCACCCCGGAGGACTGGGCGGGGAGGACAGGAGGGCCAGGAGAGCAAGGAAAACGTACGCGTACGTGCGTACATGTTGGTTTCGAAACCACGCATTGCGTGAATGCTCGTATCACGAAGCTGGTTTCGTGGGTGGGGGGCCGTGCTCATGTATTTTACGTGGTTGGGCTCGTACTCTTCTTGTGGGCTCCCTAGAGGTGGGAGGGGACGGGGGAGGAGGAGTACGGGGGAGGGGAGGGGGGAGGTGGACCCCCCTGGCGCTTTTCCTCCCCCCTAAAGCGCTCGCTTTTCGGGCTCCCTAGAGTGGGAGGGGAAGGGGGAGGAGGAGAAGGAGGGGGAGGGGAGCGGTGGGGTGGGCCCCCCCTGGCGCTCTTCTTGCCCCCACCCCGGCGCGCGCGCGCGGAAGTCCGCGCGGATCTCCGGACGTACACGCTGCTCTATGTGGATGCTCGGATCGATGGTCTTCGGGACTTTTAAGTCGAAGCCAGGACGAGGATCAATTCGGGGGATGACACATCGGGAATCTCTGAAAGCCCACGGCTCTGGAGGATGTATCGACGGTCGTCGGGACGTGTGTGAGCCTTGCTCAGCTCGGCGGCCAGCGAGGGCGAAAGTTAGAAGGAGAAGGCCCTCTCAGAGGGCGGAGGGGCTTCTCCGGAGCCCATCCGGCCTTCTAAGAGGTGCTCTGTGTCGTCGGGGACGGCTCAGAAAACTTCTCGGAAGGCCCGGGGACTTCTGAGCCATCAGAGAAGGCCCGCCACTTCTCACTTCCCCCCCGGGCTCGCCGCCGATACAGTGGAAACCCATGCCGAGAGACACCCTGCTTGCCCCCAGGGTGTCCTGAGTTTCTTGGGTTTCGATGGTTCTGTTGTGGGGGGCGTGACGTTCCCACACTTACATCAATGGACGCCCTGGTGTCTCAGGTTTGGGCTTTTCTTGTGGAAGGTGCCTTGTGGTTGAGCTCCTGCTGTATCTGGAAGGTCAGGTCGATGGTCCTGGGGACGTGCACGTGCCCGCTCAAAGCTCCATTGGCCGACAGCATGTCGGCTCTTAGCGGACCGCCTGCGCCATGATTCGAGGAGGGCGGCAGCACGCGCTCTGAGGATCATCGACCAGAGGCGGCGGCGAGCGAGGGGGGGAGGTGAGAAGGAGAAGGCCTTCTCAGAAGGCTGCGGGACCTCTCGGACGCCCTCGCGCCATCTGAGACGTTTTCAGTGTCTTCGGGGAGAAGGCTCGGAACATTTCTGAGAAGGCCGGGGGTTGGCATCGCTCGGACGTGTGCATTTTTTCTCGGCGAGGACCTTCGAGGAGCATCCTCGACCATCGGGCCAACAAAGCACGCACGAGACCGAAACATGCACAGGGAATGGACGTCCGAGCGACGGCGAGGGGGGCTCCCCAGCCTTCTGGGAAGGCCCGCCCCTGCTCACCTCCCCCCCGCACTCGCCGCCAACAGAGGCGCTGAACCTGCCGCTTGTTCGCGCGGAGCAGATCTCCGCGGCCCTCGGCGGTGACTGGGAAGTGCTGGACCAGCGGGAGGGCCTCTACGACCTCAGCCCGGAGGCCGTCGGCATCGAGTGCGAGGCCGACGCTTGGCCCGATCGTCGAGAGGCGGTCGTCGTCGGCGTAGGCGTCGTCGAGGTTCGAGGCATCGGATGTCCAGCCGGCGCGGTGCGGTGACCGCACCGCCTGGCGAGCCAGAGGAGATCAGGGGTGCGCACAGTTCTGGGACCTAGGTCGGTTCCCGAGGATGCCTTGGTGGGCGCCTGGGGCATCCGAAGTCCCAAGGACGCGCGGCGAGGGGCGGCGCGGCGAGGCCTCCCTGAGAATTTCGAGGCCACCGCACGGTCTGCCACTGCCCTGCCGTTTTGGGTGCCCAGCAGGTTCGGGGATCAAGGTTGTTCCCCACCTGGCGGGATGTGGTCGTCCAGTTTGGGGGAGAGTCAGCGGGCGAAAAACGATATAACATGTTTTTTTTCCCACCGTCGGAGACGCCTCCCCCTGGGCGGCTGGAGCGTGTATTGTAGTGGCCTCCGGCCAGTGCCGCCGATCCAGGACGCTTCCGTTGTTGCCGGAAGCGCACGATGGCGGTCATGACCGGCGACGACGGCGAGCGGTGAGGATGATGACGAGGATTGGGAATGGAGGCGACGGAGTAGGATGAGGATGATGATGATGATGATGATGATGAGGAGGAGCAGGAGGAGGAGGAGGAGGAGGAGGATAATCATGATGAGTTGGAGGGGTGTGGGGGGGAGGGGCAGGAGTAGCAGGAGTCGGAGGATGAGGAGGAGCAGGAGGAAACGGGAAGTGGAAGAGGGGGACAGGGAGGCGCGTGACGAGGATGAGGAGATTTTTGGAAATGTTCGGCGGTTGATGGAAGACCTCTTTGGGGCCAGGTGTTGGCCCTCTGGTTTGAGCTTCTCGCGAGGGGGGTCTAGGAGGCAGTTTGGAGGCCTCTGGAAGCGTCCTGGGTGCATTCTGCAGACCCCTGCGGGCCTTTAGGGGCTTCAAGGGGGCCTCTTCGGGGCCAGTTGGAAGCGTCGTCGTGGGGCCGCTTCAGGCCTCTTGGGGGCCTCTGGGGGCCTGTTGGGTTTTTGGTTGCCATCGTCGGCATTTCTTCCGCCGTTTTGGCGCACCTTCAGGCGCCTTTTGGGCCCGTCCTGGGACCCTCTGAGGCCTTTTCTGGTGGCCTCCTGGGCCATCACGGGCACTTCTTGGGCCGTCTTGGAACTCTCGTCGCGGTCTTTCTTGCCGTTTGGGGGCTCTTGGGGCGTCAGCGACGCCCTGAAGGCCCGAAACGCGAGTCTGTTAAACTCGCATGTTTCCCGAAGGGGATGGGACACTTGTTGTTTCTTTGTGCCTTTTTGGGGAGGCCTTTTCTTTTCAGGGCTTCTGAGGGCCGGATCAGTCTTGGGGCCATACTGGGCGTTTTGTAGCGATCCTTCGGCGACTCCTGGGCGAGTGGGCCGTCCTGGAGTGAGCTGGAATTCCGATTCCGCCCCGGATATTCAATCGACCCCCCCCTTCCCCCTACCCCGGCAGACCCACCCCGGCGTCCACCCCCCAGTGGAGCTGAAATTCAGGAATTGAGGCTTAGGCTGTTCCGAGGGTCTGTGAAACTCACACGCCCGATCGGCGGGTTTTATACCGGTCGCCGCCCGTTAAAGATAGAGTTCCCGCACGCCTCCGCCAGGACCCGAGGGACCTAGTGCTACCTGGGCGTCCCGCCTCGCCTCTCGACGACTGACGACTGGATGCCGTGGCCGCCAAGCCCCGAGGGGCCCGCGGCACCCTGGGGCTCCCGCCTCGCTTTCGCGCCCTCGGGTGGGGGCCGCTCGAGGCCACTAAGGGTGTTGCGTTTGTGTTTGTCGTGCCATCCTGCGTCCAGTGCGAGGTGCCCTCGTTCAGCCTCCCCCGTCCCGTTCCCCATGCGCGTCACGTTAATATCGGGGGTGGACAAACGTCCTACCCTGACACGTCGATTAAAGAATTTGACGTTTTCGGTTCGCGAGATGGCGTGGCAGCCGTCGTTTTTTGCGGGTCCAGATCCGTCGGTTTCGGTCCCAGGCCGTTTTCATGAAGGGGAGGTTTACTACAGGGAGGTTTGTCCACCGCCGATAAAATTGCCTCAGATGTTCCACTTTTGCCGCCGGCGCTGCTCGTCATGACAGGCCCGTTTGGCAGTCAGACCGAGGAGGGGAGGGTACCTTGGTGCTCCTCGTGTCTTTGGGATGTTGTTGGGCATGTTTGGGAAGGAACCCTTGGATGTTATGTTTGTTTCGGCCGACCGAGAGTCTCGTGTTCTTGAGGGATGATCTTCTGGCCTAGGTCCGACTATAAATTCGCTGTCCCGACTAGATGGGCCTGGCGGTCGCGGGCGTCCGATCGGACCATTGCTTGACTGCTTGCTTGGAGGTGCCCTCGTCCATGCCACGCTGGATCCGCGTCGCGATCCGGACCAGGCGCGTCCCCAGACAGGCGTGTTGGGCCTGTCGTCGTGGTTGGGGGGCGGCCAAGAAAAGGCCAAGAGGGAGGTGATCACTACGCAGAGGATATCATGGCCAGGGCCAGGGGATCTCCCCCGGCCCCCGCCTCCAGGGCGGCGCACGTGCGATTTGCGAACCCCCCTCTTTTGCAACTTCCTGTTGGACGTTCCCGAAAAGTTCCCAGGCCTGCAGCGTCTCTTGTCCATGACATCAGCGGTGCGGTCAAGAGGTCTGGGCCTGCGTAGTGGCTGATCCAGGAGTTGACGTCGTCGCCCAAGATGGATCGAGCGTGGGGGTTCCGAGCTCGAAGGATCGAGATTCCAAGGCGCTCTTGGGCTCCCTCTCTTGGGCCTCCCGTGAGGTGCTCGCCGTGGCCAGGTCTGCTTCGAAGTCCTGGGCAGGACGCGCCCGGGAGGGCAGGTCGTATGGGTCGTCGTTGTGCTGCCCTCAGGCCCCGAGGGGAGTGGTCGGACGGGGCCGGGACGAGGAGAAATCCGTTCCAGAGCATCCTTGAACGCCCTCAGAGCGTTCTGGAACGCTCTGAGAGGGCCGCGGCGCCCGAGACAGCCTCCAGAACCGCCGGGTCTCTTGGAGGTTCCCGGTTCATCCTCACCCGATGTTTGATCCTCGTCTTCAGGGTCGGGGCAGGAGCGCGAGGTCACGCACGTGCCCGAGCGGCAGCCGTCCTACAAGATTCGACAAACAAAAGTTGACAGTTGTTGTTTTCGGTGCTTGCATGGCCAGCTCTACTGCAATGCTGGCATGAGGCATTCGGCCCAGACGCAGGGTGTCCGAAATCCGACAGTTCCCGCACAGCATCCAAGAATGCGTTTTCTGACGGGTGCCCGAGCTATCAAGCGCTTCGATTTTGAACGACATTTCGATGTGTTTTGTTGACGAGGCTTGTAGGGGAGCACGGCGATCGCCTGCCTGCTTGCGGTCTCGCCCCCCAGCGGCTCGTCGCGCTCGGGGCCTCCGAGAGGGGGCGCTCCACGGGGGGCGACGCGCCGGGGCGAGGGGGGGCCGCAGACGACCACGGGGGGGGCCGGGGCCTCGAGGAGGAGGGGGGGTGGGGGGAGGAGCAGGAGGAGGAGGTAGAGGAGGAGGAGGAGGAGGAGGAGGAGGAGGAGGAGGAGGAGGAGGAGGAGGAGGAGGAGGAGGAGGAGAGGAGGGAGGGGGAGGGGGAGGAGGAGGATTAGGCGGAGGAGGAGGGGGAGGAGGAGGAGGAGGAGGTGGAGGCGGATGCGGAGGAAGAGGAGGTAGGAGTAGGAGGAGGAGGAGGAGAAAGGAGGAGGAGGAGGAGGGGGAGGAGGAGGGAGGTAGGAGGAGGAGGAGGAGAAGAGAAGGAAGATCAGGCAGGAGGAGGAGGGAGGAGGAGGGAGGAGGAGGAGGAGGGGGAGGAGGAGGAGGAGGCGGAGGAGGAGGTGGAGGCGGATGCGGAGGAAGAGGAGTAGGAGGTGGAGGAGAGGAGGAGGAGGAGGAGGAGGAGGAGGAGAGAGAGGGAGGAGGAGGAGGGAGGGGAGGAGGAGGAGGAGGAGGAGGGAGGAGGAGGAGGAGGAGGAGGAGTAGGAGGAGGAGGAGGAGGAGGAGGAGGAGGGAGGAGGGAGAGGAGGAGGAGGAGGAGGAGGAGGAGGAGGAGGGGGAGGAGGAGGAGGAGGACGAACGTCGCGGGCAGGGGCACGGCGTCGGAGATCCGAGCAGAAGTCATCGGGCACGAGATAGCCCCTAACCCTAATGTCAAGTCGGGGACGTCTTTCGGGGGTGGACAGAACCCCCAACAGTGATACGTCGATTAGTGAATTGTCCGTTTTCGGTTCTCGAGAGGGCGTCGCGGCCGTCATTTTCCAGGCTTGCGCCCTCCAGGTTTGGGCCCCAGTTCGTTGTCACTAAACCACGTTTTGCTAAAGGGGGTTCTGTCCATCCCCGACTATGCTTGGCCATATGGGGGCATTTGTTGGCAATGTTAGAGTTTCTTCCAGGATCCGCCTGTAGTAGGACATGCGCGACCTAACCGTGATAGCACGATGAATTCGTGGCCTCGCTGAGGTCTCCGTCTTCGCAGCAGGGATAGCACATCTGGGCGGTATGCTCTGATACGTCTGCAGAGACGACCCCCCCTATCCCTGATGTATGTGGCCCTCCTAATTTAGGCCCCTCCCAAAGGCTTACTTAGGGGCCCTTGTTGTGACAATCGAGCAGAAAGGAAGGCCCTATCTTGCTCCTCTACGATTGCACAGTGCGAATTCTGGTCTCCTCGCTTTCTGCCTCGAAGGCGCCGGCGACGCGTCCCGGCCTCATTTGCGTATTGTTTTGTTTACGCACAGGATGCCGTCGAGATGGTCTTTTAAATGTGTGTTTTCAAGTCCCGCTCCCGCTGCACCGTTCCCGCTACACCGTGGCTCCCGCCACACCGTTGGCTCCATGTTCCCGTTCTCAGTCTTTCAAAATAATGTGCCCGTTGCAGCGCTGACCTCATTTCATTCATTGTTGCGGCTTTTCCAAATCGTGCTCCTGCTGCAGCGTTGTCTTCGGTTCCGCGCTTCTGGTCCTTTCAAGTCGTGCTCCCTTTCTCAGCGTTTGTCTCATGTCCGCGTTTTCGGTCCTTCGAACTCGTGCTCCCGCTGCAGCGCTTATCTAACCGCTTTCTAAAACAGTCCATTTGCATTTCCCGTCCTGTGCCATTTCTGGTTTCCTTCTGACCTTGTTGTCGACATGAGTCGCGTTCTCGACGCGACGGCGTCGGCGGTGGCCGTGCTCTTCTATGCCATGCTGCGCCTTGCTCTACCACGCACCGCGTCCTCTCTCGGGACCACTGCCCTGTTCGATATCCGACTGTGCGAACAGAGAGAGGAGGTCTACGCAATGGAGGGCGTCGGATAGGACGCCTGCGCACCTAGCTTTCCAGCCTTCCGCTCTCCTCTTCGTCCCTCGCCCCTCTCGCCCGGCATTCCCCCGCGAGGTCCGCACGAGGGGGGGCGGCTGGGAGGAGAGGGGGGGGGAGGGAGGGGGCGGGGGGCGGGCGGAGGAGGGGCACGAGCGGGAGCAGGAGGAGGAACAGGTGGAGGAGGAGGAGGAGGAGGAGGAGGAGGAGGAGGAGGAGGAGGGGGAGGGGGAGGGGGAGAATTTGTGCCGTGCGGTGTGGAGGCGAGGTGCGTGTGCAGAAGGAGGGAGGGCCAATTGCCGCGTCCACTGAGTTTGCCCCGTGGGGTGTACGTCGAGAAGGAGGTCGACTACAGAGCCGATATAAAATGCGAAACAATGCGTGCAATGTCCGGTAAGTCTGCGGAGCATTCCAAGAATTTGCGTAGACTTCACGACAAATGCAATTCTTCACGCTTCGCGTATCCCCACCAGCCTTGTGCGCTGTCGGTGGCTGGCTTTCACCCAACATGCGGGTGACGGCGGGCAGCGCCCTTGTTTTGCCGTTCGCTTGCCTTGTCGCTGCGCGCGTGGCGAGCCTCTGCATCACGGCTGTCTCATCCGGGGTCCTAACGCTCAACCATTTTGGTGCGCATCGCGGAAGTATTGGTCCATTTCGGCCTGGCGGATTTCTGGACGTCGCCGGCTCCGCCGCCTGAGCCCCGCGTGGCGCGATCCAGTCGTGGTGTTTTTTTTTAGGCCGTAATTTAGATCGTTGCGTTGTCGCTTCGTTTTTTGACGGCGCGCAGTTGCTTTGTGTCGCCCGCGAGCAAGCAGTATCCCCACTTGCCTTTTTGTTTCAGAAGCCCTGTGCATGAGAGCTGACGGGCAACGGGAGGAAGAGACGCACATAGTGAAACGCGGCGGGCAGCCGGCGGGTAAAATAAGAGATCTCTGTGAACAGGGCGACGGCATTGGAAGGCCCATTCGGGCATCTCAGAGGCCCGCGCGGGGGCGACGGGGGTGAGATGACGAGGGGGAGGGGGGGGAGGAGAAGAAGGAATAGCTGTTTGGAGGGGGGTCCCCTGGAGGAGATATGTTGGGGCATTATTACAGGTCTCTCATCCGGTTTTTTGAGGGGTCGTGGCGCCTTTTTGGGTTTTTTGGGGGCGTGTTGGCGCCCCTTGGGGCGCTTCTTGGACCCTCATTGGGCTTCTTTTGGGCCCTCTTGGGGGTCCTGGAGAGCTTGGGCTCATCTTGGAGGCCATCGATCAAAAGATGGGGGTTCCTTTATGCTGGTCCCCCCCTTGGGGCCCTCAAAACCTTCTCTTGGGGCGTTCGCGGGGCCCTTTTGGAGCGCTCTTGGGCGCTCTTGGGGCCGTCTTGTTGGGGGCCTCTGTGGCCCAAAGTGGGTCCTTTTTGGGCAACCTTGGGGCCAACTTGAGGCTTCAGAAGCGCGTCGGAAGCGACACGGCGAGAAGACACACATCTTCGATGCTCCTTAGATGTTTGAAGGATTTGGGGCTTGTGGGCGGGTCTTGGGGGGTATCCGAGAGCATTTGGAACCGTTTTGTGGCTCTCTTGGGGCCTCTTGGAGGCATGTTGTTTGCTATCCTGGGCCATGCTGCCCCATCTTGAGCCATTTTGGAAGCCATCTAGGTGCATCGGCCCCGCCGCCGCCGCCGCAACTGCCGCCGCAGCCGCCGCCGCCGCCGCCGCCAAATGTACGCTGTATTGTTTTTGTTGACAGGGATGGTGGGGAGAGGCCGAATCGGGTCGGCTGCGCATGCTCCGAATTTGGAGGCATCGTGTGTTTTGCATTGTTTCTCAAAATTATCCCAGTGCGACCCTACCTAGGAGTTGGAGCCCCTAGGGAAGCAGCATTACTAGTAACAGAAAAGCTAAGCGAAAGCTCAGATAAAGCTGAGCTAAAGCTAAGCTAAAGCTAAGTTAAAGCTAAGCTAGAGCTAAGCTAAAGCTAAGATAAAGCTTAGCTAAAGCTAAGCTAAAGCTCAGCAAAAACTAAGCTAACGCTAAGCTAGAGCTAAGCTAAAGCTAAGCTAGAGCTAAGCTGAAGCTAAGCTGAAGCTAAGCTGAAACGAAGCTGAAGCTAAGCTGAAACGAAGCTGAAGCTAAGCTAGAGCTAAGCTAAAGCTAAGCTGACGCTAAGCTGACGCTAAACTAGAGCTAAGCTAAAGCTAGGCTGAAGCTAAGCTGAAGCTAAGCTAAAGCTAAGCTAAAGCTAAGTTCGAGCTAAGCTCGAGCTAAGCTCGAGCTAAGCGAAAGCTAAGCTATAGCTAAGCTAAAGCTAAGCTGAAGCTAAGCTAGAGCTAAGCTAAGCTAGAGCTAAGCTGAAGCTAAGCTGAAGCTAAGCTGAAGCTAAGCTAGAGCTAAGCTAGAGCTAAGCTGAAGCTGAGCTGAAGCTAAGCTAAAGCTACGTTAAAACTGAAGCTAAGCTAAAGCTAACTAAAGCTAAGCTAAAGTTAAGCTACAACTAAGCTAAAGCTAAGCTACAACTAAGCTAAAGCTAAGCTGAAGCTAAGCTCAGCTGGGTGAACCCAGGGGGCGCGACTGGGGGAACCGCGGGGCGGGGACTGGGGGAACCGCCCGGGGCGATTTACACTACCCGGCCCCTTTAAGCTAAGAGAGTAAGAACCCTTCTAGGCAGAGCCTAGGTAGGGAAAACAATGGCGGGAGGGTGCCCACATGGTGCGGGGTTGGCTACCAGTCGCCTGGAGGAGGGGGTGTTTATGAATAGGGACCGTGATAACCCCCCCCCAAAGGCAGGAGGGATTTTGCGGAAGAGGAGAAAAACACATCGTTCGACCACCGGCGCCCAGTGGTGTGGTGGGATTTTGGGGTGAATACTCATGATGTCGATCCCCTACTCGAATAGAATCGGAACCGACGGTAAGAATGGGCAGCCTTCGCAAAGACAGCCTTGCATCCGTGCCCCCTTGGTCAATCCCTGACTGCTTTCGATGGCCCGCCGTGTTCGCAACACCTTCAACACTGGCACCCAGGGAACTTGCATTTTTATCGTGCGCCCTGGCTACCACGCGCATGGTGGCCAGTAGTGTACGTGAATCAGCGTCGCCCATGGTTCAGCGGTGATGCGTGTTGTGCGTGCGTGGCTGCGTGTGTGTGTGTGTGTGTGTGTGTGTCTGTCTGTCTGTGTGTGTCTGTGTGTGTGTGTGTCTGTCTGTGTGTGTGTCTGTGTGCGTGTGTGTGCGTTTATGGTTTATGTGTGTGCGTGTGTGCGTGCGTGCGTGCGTGCGTGCGTGCGCGTGTGCGTTTTTTTTCTCGCCCGTCCTTCGTCCCCGCCCGCTCTCCTTCCATGCCATCGAGGCGGCGACAGCACGGCCATTCGAGGGCGGATTCTGGCCTCCCGCGGGTGTGTTCTTTCTTTCCTGGGTTTATAGCGAACAAGAGGGGCGAAGAATTTTCGACTTCTTCCTAGCTTGCCAGCACCAGGCGTTCTACGAGTTCGGCGGCAGCGCCACGCCGGGGATCCCCAGCCACTGGCTGCTCCTGCGGAGGAGGGCCGGCCCCGAGCCAGACGGGGAAAAATCCACCCTTTGGCAGGCCAGCTGGCGCACAGTGGGACGACAGCGGCTGCGATGGCTTATTATTGTAAGATGACGATTCATAAATGACGGGGGGTCGTGTTGCGTCGGCGGCGCCCTGGAGGATGATTAGAAAAAACTGGCCGCGGGTTGGGACACTATTTTTTCAATCGCTCCCCCCCTGCCGTCCTCGGGCGCGCGCCCGAAAATGGATTGTGCATTTGACGTAACATTTGACTTGGGCGTCAATTGATCATTGGACATAATGTCTGAAGCCGACATGGAACCAGCATGTGACCTAAAATTAATTTGTATTTTACGTAAGATTGAAGTCGAAGTTGAATGATTCTAATCCGTAAGGGCTTCGCCCCATGCCGCCGGCCCCCTGTCTCGGATAATGGGAGATGCAAGAACTAAATCATGAGGTCTGGGCGCCGCCGTGAAACAGTGTCGGGACCTGTTTGTTTTTGGACCCTGACCCTGCGGATCTGCGTGAGGGGTGCCGCCAGATTTCAGAAATGTGGCAAATCCCATGTGTGTTTGGAACCTGACCCTACCGCTCTGCGTGAGGGGTGCCGCCGGATTTCAGAAATGTGGCAAAACCACTGCTTTTGGACCCTGACTCTGACGATTTGCGTGAGGGGTGCCACTGAATTTCAGAAATGTACCAAATCCATTGTTTTTGGACCCTGACCCCGCCGAACTGCGTGAGGGGTGCAAGCGAATTTCAAAACATGTGGCAAATCTCTTGTGTTTTTTTACCGGAAAGGGCTGAGGCCCAGGGTCCTTTTAGTTGGTTTACCCTTCCCGGAAGGAGGCCCGCGGAATTATTCTTTATAAAAAACAAGTTTAAGTCCAATTCGGTGTGAACAAATGCGTTTGGCGCGTGCCCGCTCGAGGAAAGTCGACCCCCCATCTCGGATCCTCGATAGATAACGGGGTTCGCAGACCACCGCTCTCCTGCGTAACAAAAAAAATCCGGGGCATTTTTAGCAGAATCCTTTGTACATATATATATATATATATAAACACATATAATTAGGTGAGGATGTCTCGAGCGAAACGCAGATTTTGCAAAATTAGGGGATGTCTCGAGCGGGGGCCTCGTGGGGGCCAGAATTCAGAGGATGTCTCAAGCGAAATGGTTGTTTTCATGTCCCGCTTGCAGGAATTTCGAGGATGTCTCGCACGCGCCACGTCCCGCGCGCAGGAATTTCAAAGATGTCTTTACTAATTTGTTTAGTTTTCAGGATGTCCTTCGATTTTGCCAGGATGTCTCTAGCGAAACGCTTGTTTTCATAATTTGGTGAGGATGTCTCGAGCGAAACGCTGGTTTTGCAAAATTGTGGGGTGTCTCGAGCAGGGGCCTCGTGGGGGGCTAGAATTCAAAGGATATCGCAAGCGAAATTGTTGTTTTCACGTCCCGCGCGCAGGCATCCCGAGGATGTCTCGCACGTGCCGCTTCCCGCGCGCAGGAATCTCGAGGATGTCTCGACGAATTCGCTTATTTTCAGGATTCCCTTGGATTTTGCCAGGATGTCTCTAGCGAAACGCTTGTTTTCATAATTGGTTGAGGATGTCTCGAGCGAAACGCTGGTTTTGCAAACTGGGGGCGTGTCTCGAGGGGGGGCCTCGTGGGGGGGGGCAGAATTCATAGGATATCTCAAGTGAAATGGTTGTTTTCACGTACCGCGCGCAGGAATTCCGAGGATGTCTCTCGCGTGCCACGTCCCGCGCGCAGGAATTTCGAGGATGTCTCGACTAATTCGTTTATTGCTCCAGGATGTCTCGAGCGAAACGCTTGTCCCCAGCACGTTCCGCAGCGCGTCCCCTTGGCACGTCCCGCGGTGTGTCCCCATGGCACGTCCCCTGGCACGTCGCTTGGCGCGTCCCTTGAGACGTTCCGCGGCGCGTCCTCCTGGCATGTCCCCCTGTCAATTAGCTCTGGGACAGCTACTATGTGTTCAGGCAGCTCGAGGTTAAGGTCCAGATCAGTTCGGTCAGGACTCGGATGCAAAGGAGGACTCGATCCACGACGCTACAGAGCACACTCGCGGCATGCCACATCGCATTTCAGCACGGCGCAGCACAGCACAGATTTCGGCAGGTACATCAAGATGGATACATTCAGCATTGCAAGTTGGCACGTTCCTTGGCACGTTCCGTGGGGCGTCCCTTGGCGAGTCCCCCTGGCACGTCGCGTGGCGCGCCCCTTGGCACATCCCGTGGCAAATCCATTGGCACGTTCCGTAGCGCGTCCCTTCGGCACGTCCCGCGGTGTGACCCCATGGCACGTCCCCTGGCACGTCGCTTGGCGCGTCCCTTGAGACGTTCCGCGGCGCGTCCTCCTTACATGTTCCCCTGTCAATTAGCCCTGGGGCAGCTACTATGTGTGTTCAGGCAGCTCGAGGTTAAGGTCCAGATCAGTTCGGTCAGGACTCGGATGCAAAGGAGGACTCGATTCACGACGCTACAGAGCACATTCGCGGCATGGCACATCGCAATTCAGCACGGCGCAGCACAGCACAGATTTCGGCACGGTACATCAAGATCGATACACTCAGCGTTGCATTTGCCCGTCACCCAATCAGGTGTCTTTGAAAACGTTGCCATGCGTTACAGCTCTGTATTCCTTTCCGGGTTCGTGGGTCGATCATGTTGGACCCTGACCCCGCCGATCTGCGTGAGGGGTGCCACCGAATTTCAGAAATGTGGCAAATCCCATGTGTTTTTGGACCCTGACCCCGCCGATGGTATCCATTCTTACCCACCCCAGCAATTCAGACAACACGCTCAGGGCGTGGTAAAAATGCTCGTTTTGGGCCTCCCCTCACGCGGTCCATCTACAAGGAACAGTAAGCAGCAAGAAGCAGAACTGTAACAGTGGAAACTGGAAGCTGCAACTGGTACAGAAAAATGCAAGCCTTCGGCCTACAGCCTGGTGGCCCCACAAGGGGGCCGGCGGATTGTTTAACGTAAAGATTTGGCGACGACGTGAAAAGAGTATTTGGCGCACGATTCGAAGCCGACGTGTAATAGACACGTTTTTAATCGTCCTCCTCCCGTTGAAAATATCATAAAGAAATCAAGGAAGCTCTGCTTGTTGAGTCGTTCCCCCTTTAATAACCGTCATCCTACACGCCGGTCGTTGCACGTAAGTATTTGGGCGCCTTCCTGCTTCAAGGGTCAAGCGGTGTTCCTCCTTCCCTCCTCTTCAGCAGGCGGGCGGAAACCCAATCTTCTTCCGGCGCCTTGCGACTCCATGTTTCTACCCCTCTCTTCCGACCGACGGGTCGACGGGTCGAAGGACGTACACGTACATGAGTCCACGTTGGTTTCGAGAGTACGCATTGCGCGAGAAGTTGTATCACGCGGTCCAGTCTCACAGATTGGGGGGCCGTGTTCATGAACGTGGCTGGGCGCCTACTTACTTTGTGGCCCCCCTATCCCCTCATGCCCTCAGGTTTCCATTAGTGTCTTCCCCCCCGCAGCGTCCTCCTCCTTATCGGCCCTCGGCTGGCTCCACATGACCTCGTGACAGCATCGCCGTTTCTTGTCCGCTCAGGCTCTACTCTGCGTGTCACGCTTTCCCTCTTGCACCCCCCTCCTCGTTTTGCTTGCTCAGCTGCTGCGACAGCAGGATGCCACCAACGTTATATGTTGCCTATCCTTTGTTCCTTTCGCCCCCCGCACACACACACAAATACACACACACACACTCTCGCCCCTCCCTTCTCGCTCGTACTCCTACACTTCCCTCCCCTTGTTTTCTGCACTTCAGCGTCGGCCTCGGCTGCAGCCGCGATGCGCTCCGAAGCGCCTCCGGACCAGACCACCCTAGTCGCTGTTCCCCTAGCACGGGTGCTTCTGAATCACTGCCCCGTTCCCCTTCCTTCCTGGCCGTTGCCCGCATCCCTCTTCCCTCATGGCCACGTCCCCGCCCTTCCCCCCCCCTTCCCAGCCCACTCCCCCTCCTCCTCCTCCTCCTCCTCCTCCCCTCCTCCTCCTCCTCTCCTCCTCCTCCTCCCCTTCTCCTCCTCCTTCTCCTCCTCCTCCTCCTCCTCCCCCCCCTCCTCCTCCTCCTCCCCCTCCCCCTCCTCCTCCTCCTCCCCCTCCTCCTCCTCCTCCCCCTCCTCCTCCTCCTTCCTCCTCCTCCTCCTCCTCCTCCTCCTCCTCCACCTCCTCCTCCTCCCTCCTCTCTCTCGCCGTTTCCCACCCCTCTGCCCCATATCTGTCCCTGTCAGGAGCGGAGGAGCAGAAACTCGGGGGCAGGAGATAGATGAGGGGTGGGGGACCGCCCGCGCCCTCTGTCTGGGGCTCCCCTCCTTTTTCGCCCTCCCTCCTCCTTCCTCCTCCTCCTCCTCCTCCTCCTCCTCCTCCTCCTCCTCCTCGTTCGTCCTCCTTTTTCCTCCTCCTCCTCCTCCTCGTTCCTCATCCTCTCTCCTCCTCCTCCACCTCCTCCTCCTCCTCCTTGCCTTCCTCGCCGCGTGGATCTCGTCCTCCTCTGCCTCTCCGCAGAATCAACCAGGGGGTTTGGGGCCTTCGACGGTTCAGCCGGCTGGGACAGCCACGACAGCGAGAGCAGAGCGAGGACGATGCAAAGACAGCAGCGACGAGGCAGCTTTTTGTTGCGAGAGTGGCGAGGATGGGGGCGAGCCCGTGAGTGGTGGTGAGGACGGAGATGGCAGCAAACGGAGGAAGATAACGATCGAAGGGGGCAGGGATCATGACTATGACGGGGAACAGGCGAAGGAGGAGGAGGAGGCGGAGGAGGAGGAGGCGGAGGAGGAAGAGGCGGAGGAGGAGGGGGTCTCGAGGAGAGGACAGGAGGCCTCATCAGACTTCCGAGTGTGTGCTTGTGTGTCTGTGTTTTCGCGACGTGTCCCCCCAGCGCTAACGATCCCTTCCCCAGGAGCATGCTTTGTCAACCTGGGCTCGGGGACTTCCCTCCGAAGGCGCGACGACAGAGACAACAAAAAGCGTGCATTCGTAATTTCAGGCGCATCCCGAGGCTGTTGTTTCTTCAAGGTGCAGCACTAGTTGCTGATTGACTGAATGTCTGGCTCACTGGCTCACCGATTGTTTCGTCGCGC